CCCCCCCGAGGGCGGCCTGGGCTACAGCCAGCTGGTGAGGGGCATGACTAGTAGGGGTTCCCATGGGGGAGACTCGGTAGGGACACAATCCTCATGGCTATTTTGCTGCTTTGCAGGGTGATGATGACCTGAAGGAGACGGGCTTCCACCTCACCACCACCAACCAGGGAGCCTCAGCTGCTGGCCCTGGCTTCAGCCTCAAGTTCTGAGGTCAGATTGACTGACCCTGGCCAGCTAGCTGGTGACAGGCAGATCTGCTGATTCAGGACAACCTTGTTTTGCTTCGTTTTCTCCGTGAAGTTTGTTTTGGGTCAGGTTATAAATTTGTAGAATTAAATCACATTTTTCCTTCTGGAAAGGAAAGAGTTTTCAGAGGTGTCTAACTTGCCTGGTGAGGTGGGGTGGGCATCTGTAGGTGCCAGAATAGGACCCTGGGCACAGTAGGACCCAGGCTGGAGCAGAACTGAGTTGTCTGCTTCTCAGTCCTGGAGGTTGGTGTGGTAATTGTTTTGTTTATGATCTAACGAATCATAAAATATCACACTGGCTGTGTGTGATGGGTGAGGCAGCCTGCTTCTCACTGGGGTATCTAAACAAGCCCCATCCACACAGACCTTGGCCCTCAGAACCAGGTATGTGACACCTTCACCCACAGTGGGTTTTATACATGAGGTTGTTGGGTGTCTAAGTAGTAAAATATTCTTGGAGGAAGCTTCTCTGTGTCCTTTTCTTTTTTCTTTTTTTTCAGCCTGCTGGCTCCCAGCTGAACCCTGTAAGTGTCTCTGGGATGGGGAGAGGCTAGCTGCAGACTTTGGGGAGCAGACTGAGATTATAGGATTGGGTACTCTCTTGCTCTGACTCACACATGCCAAGCCTTTCCTGACCTCCTAGCTCTTTCCTCCCTTCACGCATCCCACATCACCTCCAATGTGTCTAAGAAAGGTGTTGGCCTGAAGGAAAGAAAAAAAAAAGTTCTGTGACTACTTGGGGCCTCTATTTTATGCCTCAGCTGGTCCTCGGCCTCTTCCTTATTCACACTGAAGCCTCACCTAGGGCCCGTGCACATTCTTCCCTCAGCACACCCTAGGTGGTGCTGTGACCCCACTGCTCTGGGGAGTACTGACTGACAGGTAGGCAGAGGTGGCCTTCCTTCTTCCCATGAAACAGCACAGAGACATCAGAGGAAAAGCGCTTTATCTGCTGACTTCCAGCACAGAGGCTGTTGGCAGGCTCAGCTCCGCACTCGGACCCGCCAGGAGTAGGTAGTGAGAACTCGCTGGTGCCGGCGCACCACACAGGTGTAGGTGCCTTCATTGATTGCGTTGGCAATGATGCTCAGCTGTGCCTCACCCAGGTCCAGATAGCCAGGGTAGGAGAATTCCAGGGGCTCCTGGTCCTTGTACCAGCTGCAGGGGGGCGGGGAGGTCCTTCACCCCTACCTATGCCAAGCCCCCAGGATATACCCGCCAGCATACCCAGGCAGCCCCAGCCCCTCTAGAAATGCCTGCCCCCTCCTGGTTACTTACTATACTTTGCCTTTCTTATGTAGGATCTTCTGCCCACAGTGGAAGG